GAAAAGCCAAATCATCAGCAGTCTTGACATGAAAGAGTCATTAAACCTACCTTCGGGTTACGTGTGGATATTTTTACACCCACAGAGCAGGATGAAGGCTTTCAAATTCGTGACCGGGTACGCGATGTTAGCCATGCCGGCAGACACTTGGCTGATGATTCTGCGACATTCAGCTCCCCGAAGGTATGCTTCCTAGAACCGTCGAGAAAGGGTCAGGTCTTGGCCAGGTAGCTCAGTTGGTTGGAGTGTCGTCCAGATATGCCAAGGTTGCGGGTTCAATCCCCAGTCAGGGCACATATAAGAATCATCCAGTGAATGTATCAGTAAGTGGAACAACAAATCGATCTCTCTCTCTTTCTCAAAAACTAAAAAAAATCAATAAAAAATGAAAAGACTTGCTTGAGACGTGATCACAAACTGGGTTCTCCTCTCTCAGTTCTGGAGGCCAGAGTCCTAAGCCGAGGTGCTGGGGGGCCGTGCTCCCTCGAAGGCGCGAGGGGAGGATCCTTCCTGCCTCTTCCAGCGTCTGGAGGCTCCGTGTTCCTGGGCTGCGTCACTCCCGTCTCAGCCCCCTTCCTCACGCAGCCTTTTCTTTGTCTGTATCTCCTCTTCTGTCCTCATTAGGACACTTGCCATTGGATGGAGGGCCCGCCCAGATAATCCAGGGCAACCTCATCTCAAGCTCTGCAACCTAATTATGTCTGCAATGGCCCTTTTTCCAAAGGTCACATTCACAGGTTCTGGGTTAGGATGTGGACATATCTTCGGGGGGGGGGGGCACCATTCAACCCGCTATACTAAGTATACTCTGGGCTTCTAGGTCTTTAAAAAACTAAGTGCTTAAAACCAGACGGCCGATATTCACTTCCTTCCCTTGGAAGGAAGGAAGCGTTTCCCCTCCTGCTGCACACACCACTTCGGAGACAGTGGACGTGTACCTCCGAGAGCATGTCGAGGGTCTGTGCCCAGTGCCCCGTGCCCACGTGTAGGCAACTTTGAAAGCACGTTTTCCTAAGTGTACCATTTACACTTGGTTATTCGCACACAGCTGAACAGGTCTAGTCTTCACATCGGCTGCTCAGGCACAGTGACTACATTTTCAGAAGCAAAAACCCACAAATGCTCTTATGCAGATTCCAGAATAGAATGTTAGTGGGGACCTGCCCATGTTTTTAAAAAAACCCTCATACTAGTGGTGGGATCTTGGGCAGGTTATCTATAATCATCCTGTGTTTCAGTTTTTCCACCTGTCAAATGGTATAACCTACTTCACAGGTTTGTGACGAGGATTCAATAGATTAGTACTTGTAAAGCATTTAGAACGATGCCTGGCGCAACATAAGGGCTGTAAGTTTTATCATAAACATTTAAAAAAACCATAATGAGTCCGGCTGGTGTGGCTCAGTGGTTGAGCATCGACCCATGCACCAAGAGGTCACCAGTTTGATTCCCGGTCAGGACACATGCCCAGGTTGTGAGGACACATGACTAGGTTGTGGGCCCGATGCCCAGTGGGGGGCGTGCAGGAGGCAGTCAGTCGATGTTCTCTCTCATCGATGTTTCTACCCCTCTCTTCCTCTCACTTCCTCTCTCTCTAAAATCAATGAAGGAAAAAAATTTTTTTATATAAATAAACTATAATGAGAAGTTGCACTAAACATCAAAGGGATACATTTACAAACACAAAGCATGCATATCAATGAAAGGTCTCTGTGGCAAGCAACAAAGATGCAGACAACATTGTTTAGGAAATGAAAGGCATGTGGAATAACCAGGAAGGGTTTAAAGCAAGTGGGAAGGAATCAAGGGAAACTGGGCACAAGGCGGCAGCCAAAGGGACCGGCAAGAACATCACTGAGCCATTCTGTCCCGTTGATTCCAATGTAAAAAGCAGGTCCAACGAACGTTGCACAGAGAGCTTTGGACTTGGCATCATCCACCGTGTTCTCAGAAATGCCAGTAACACGAATCCTCTTGTATTGGACAAGTATGATATTGGAGTATCTCAATTTCATTCAGCCATCAATGGCTCCTGAATCTCAAAAATGTTCTCTGTTCTTTGAAAATCTCGCCAAGAACTCAGACTGGCGCACCCCTCAACCCGTCAGCAGTGGGGAGCGAAGTCCTGAAACGCCCGCTGGCTCCCGTCAGAAGCGCAGGTCAGCGTGGCCGCTGCGGAGCCCTTGCCAGGCAGACGACGGCACAGCGGAGCACACCCACGCACTGTGCCCACACGGAACGGGGAGGCTCCTTCCTGAGACAAAGACACTCACGTACACACCGGGTTCTAACGTGGCCGAGGGACAGAAGCCACATGAGAACAGAGAAAACAGGCGGGGAGAGAAATGAGCAAAACAGGAAAAGCCAGGATCGCACACACATTCAGCTGGGAATCCCTGTCTACAGTGGTCCCTGTACAGCAAGACAATGCTTGCTGTGAATTTATCTTCCCGGTAAAGAAGTAAAATACAAGGCGTAGAGACTTAGTGCAGACTCCGACAGGGCCGCTGGCCACGCGTGAAGACGCGATGCCCGTCTGAAGACTGAAGCTTCCCCCACGGACCGAATGAGAAGAGGCATCGTTTACACGGAGGCGGCGCAACCTGCCTCTTCACGTGTTCCCGCGTGGAGGGTAAACAGAGACGGTTCCCCAGCTCTTGGGCAAACAAGATTCAATCAAGCATAGGACAGCCTTTTCTCAAGGCGGTATGACAAATTGAGGATTTAAATGCAAGCGTGTATGGGGACATTTCTGGAGTATGTCTTCCGGTTGGAAGGGGGTCTGAGGCAGGGTCTGCGGTCAAGGAGGTGGGCGTTTTCGGGATGCTGCATCTCCCAGCAGGCACCAGGCCAGATCCCTGACTATCATACACACACCTGTTTAACTCTGGCGAGGTGTTTCTCAAATACATTTGATCAGGAAACACGTTTTATTGTGTCATCTATTTGGTAAGTGATGGACAGGCTACAGATACCTGCCCAAGTCCTCAGGGTGTCCTCCGAGATTTGTTCACGGTCCATGTGGCACTGCATGGCTTCAGGCTGTTCAATATTTTCTTTTTTTATCCTCACCCGAGGACATTTTTCCATTTTTTGTTCAGATAGAGTGGGAGGGAGAGAAACACCGACGTGAAAGGGACACATCGAGTGGCTGCCACCCGCACGACCAACCAGGGCCGTGCCCTTAGCGGGAACCGAACCTGGGTCTCTCTGGACCGCAGCCGACGCTCTAACCGCTGAGCTAAACCGGCCAATAGTTCAATAGTTTCTTAACTCAATACGCCCACTCTCATTCTTACAGCAATTCCTAATTTAAACAGTGTTATTCTGCGAATGTCTTCAATCTTGATTTGGACATCTGGTATTCATAGTCAGAATGAAAAAGTAAATGCCTTAAACCAAAACACATTTTACTTAAATCTTTATTTTTGTCTGTTACTCCACATAAAGATAAGTATTTCAAAACACTTGAACGTATCTGATAAGCCGAGCAACAGAAAGGCTCGTGTAGCACACAGTTGATGCTGAGGCCAGGCGGGCCCTGCAGTGTAAATTTGTAACGACTCAAACTAACATTAAGAAAAAGATATGTTTTGAAGTGCAAAATAGAGACAAAGCACCGAGCACCTTGTACAATGTTGTAATAAAATATTCAATAATTCCTCTGTGTGAAAATCTCGGAAAAGATGAAAGGCAAAACTGATATAAAAGGAGTTAAGTAAGTGTTTACAAAGCCCATGTTCTCTGAGCTGTGAAAAATCGATCAGAAACCCTTTGAGGCCACGAGAAAGTCTGTGGCTCTCTGCCAATGTCATCGTCTGCCATCGATGCTCCTTAGTCCACCTAGATTTTATACTGCGGACTGATGCGTGAGGGCTTATATTGACATCGAAATGTATTTTTAAAAATACTATAATGCTTTTGCTGAAGTACCATGAAGTACTACCACAAACTGTACTTCATCATAAACATAAATTAAGAAAGTCCATACTGCCAAACTGATTTTTGAATCTTCTAAATTATATTCGTTCACTAACTTGCCAATCTGAAAAATTTGGTCATTTGTAGAGGGCTTTCTTGTCATTAATGTGAGTTAGAATTGCTATCACTTAATTCAAAAGCAATTATTTTTAAAAAATAGGACTCAGTGAAGTTTAGTATCAGCCCAAATCTACTGCAAACCATGGGCAAAAGGCCAACCCCACAGCGACACGTAAAGGTCACTTGATGAAAAAGCCAAATAGAAATTACTCTCAAAATATTTTGTCCATAATAATGAGTTTACAAATAGAAATTTAAATTTAATGAAAGGACTCTAGGCCTTTGGGCTAGCATCTCACAATCAGTAAGAGAAGCAATTTTAATTCTGATTCTTATGATATTGTCAGAACGTTTAACCACGGAGTTAAAGAACTCTGTTGAAACAACGCATAGTGAAAGCTACGAGGTTAACAGAATCTACAATTAAAAATGAATCCTTAGAATTGTTTGGCCCATGGACAAGACACTAACAGCAAACATTTTCTACTTTTCTATCTCCAGAAATTCCACGAGAATCCCAAAATGAAAACAAGCAGCAAAGGTCAACTGAATGTAGGCGGGTTGACTGGGAAAAACCCTAGAAACAGCACTAAGATGTTTAGGATACATCGTCGCATCCTGAGGAAGAATGACAAACACCTGCAAACATTTCCCACCGAAGCTTTGGTCAGCTCTACAGTCTAGTCTTTCAGGCTATTCACAAAACCAGTCTGGTGCCACCTGGTGGCTTCCTTCAGGCTCGGCCGTGCCACTGCCCCCCCAGGAGCACTTCTCTGCGTGCACAACTGGGGACCCGGCTGTTACAGGTGCTCCGAGCCGCCCGTAAGAAGAGCTGCCACCTCAGGGAGAAATGAAGACGGAGATGCTGCCCTGCGCTTTCCCACACACAGAATCACTCTTTGACACATGCGGAAATGAAAGAAAACGGAAGCTCCTTTATTCCAGATCATCTGTAGGTTCAGAATCCCACACGTGATTTTCTTTACAGGAATAGGATGTGCCAAACATCAAACCCATCTTCTTGCTGAATCCATGATAAGCTTTCCCTTTAAAAGGAGAATGAGAAAGAGGATCCAGATGTGGAACGACAGCTTCGGCAGCATCAGATGAGATGGCTTTTGGGTTTGCCACAGAGTCTGAGTTCCTTTGTCGTAAGCAGCTGTGCCAGGCCGTTGAGAAACACCAAGACGATGGTCATGCACATGACAATCACGTAGTGGCTGATGCTACAGAAAAAGAAAAAGACGTTACAGGCAGAGAGAACACACATGAGAAAAAGCACAGGGTTCCTTTAAACAATGTTTCTAAATGTACATACAAATACACAGAATTACAAAGGATACCAATGCGCCTGGAAAAGATACCAAAATGTTAAAAAAACAAAAGTGTTACAGAAATATGATGAACATAAGTCATACTTTAAGATATCTCTACCAACTGTAGGATGTTATGAAAATGTCTGACTGGTATTAGCAGCAACTGTCTTTGTTACCAGTAGACACTGAATTTCAAAATCAAGCTTTTAGAAAAATAAAGATAACATTCCCTAATTCTTAGACCCTCTGAATAATATCCACAGACTCCCCCAACATGTCTCCAGGGTACGTACTCTGACATGTTAGAGCCTGCCACTCTTCGCTTTGACACAAGTTGGAGGTACTTGGACAAAACTACCAGCCACAAAGAAGGAAACATGTCAACCACACCCAAAGTCAGTGAAGTGAAAGTCTGAGCCAGGGAATCTACACAAAGGAAACAACCGCCACCTATATTAACCTCAAAGTCAAAGTTAGTATCTCCCCAACTTTCGGAAGAAGACAGAATAATGGATACTCTTAAAATCACTCAGTCCTGTCTCTCGTCTATCAGTGATCGTCAATATTGTTTGTCTTTTTTTTTTTTTTTTTTATCCTCACCCGAGGACATTTTTCCATTTTTTGTTCAGGTAGAGTGGGAGGGAGAGAGAGGAACAGAGAGAGAGAGAAACATCGATGTGAAAGAGACACATCGAGTGGCTGCCACCCCGCACTACCGACCAGGGCCGGGGACAAACTGCAACCGAGGTATGTGCCCTTAGCGGGAACCGAACCCAGGTCTCTGAGGACCGCAGGCCGACGCTCCAACCGCTGAGCCAAACCGGCCAGGGCTTCAGTTTGTCTTTTTAAACGCAGAAATTGTACTGCCTACACAGAACATGGTTGATGGTAAATTTAGAAGTATGGGAAGAAACTTGGGGTACAGACCTGACAAATACAAACAAAGCAGGGGCCTCCTGCACTGACAGGAGTGCAGATCGGCAGGTTATTTATTTACTGTGCCTACCAGAGTTGCAGTTAACTCTCTACCGTTATAGTACATTCACGTTTTACATCTCAACAGGAGGGAGGATGCTTTCAGGACTGGTTGATGAAGAGAGGCCCTGTTTTCTCCCCTATCCTTGCCTCCACCCCCAGCAAACAGGTGTCCTCCGGGAGCTGGTGACAGAAGCTGCTTCCCCGGAAGGGCCCCCAGCAGAAGCCCCAGGGAACCTGTCTTCGGAGAGCTGAGTGAAACAGGCCGATTACCTGGAGGGCCGAGCAGATTACGGGGAAAGGGAAAGAGCAGCAGGTCTCCCTCCCCAAATGTCGATCGCTGGCCCTCAGCCAAACTAAGCAAAGCTGTGCACCTGTCAGGTGCTGCCCACAGGCAAGGCCCCCGAGCCAGGAAGGAGGGCCTCTTCCTCTGAGCAGATTGTTTTATGTGTTGGTGTTGTTACAGCTTTTAAGCAAGAGCCTCCAGTTGGCAAGTTGTATAGTTTGGTAAGATCACCTTTGGAAAGACACCGGTTAGGACATTCTCACTTGGAATGTTTCTCTAGCTTCATTTTATAAAGTAAATTTGAAGTCAAAAATAAGAGTTGGCTAGTTAAAACACAGAAATTAGACTAATTATATTAGAAATTGGGGTCTGGTCTCAGGTATGCTCCTGACCTAAAAACAACACACATACACACAATAAAATCAGATCCTTAATTACTAAACAAATATTAAGTAAGACATTTGAAACTTTTGTGTGACTGGACTGGGTTCATGACCTTTGCCCTAGACTGCCAGGTCCACGGGGACAGGGTGACGGTCTCTCTCTCCCCGCTGCATCTCTGAGGTCCAATGCAAGGCCTGTGGGCCTTCAATTAATATTTGTTAAACGAACCATTACAGTGAGTAATTTGAAATGAAAATAAATCAGAAAAACCTCTTTTGTTTTATATTACCCTGGCAGGTTAAACCGGGACTGAAATCAGACTCCCCTAAAATAGAAATCATAAACATATAATTAAAATTAAATGCTAAAAAAAATCCTAAAATGTTTAAAGAAACTAAATGAGTTTCTACCAAAATGAAGTGAAACTGGCCCACAGAGACTAATAGGTAAAGATGGGTTAGTACCGGCCTGAGAAGCAAGTCCACCCACGGAGGGGACCGCGGCCCTGGCCACACCCAGATGGAGGGATCCCCACGAGAAGCCCCCTCTCCTGGCGGCGCTCCCGGTACACTCGGCACAGGGACGGGTCTCGCCAGTGCCTGGCCTGCCTGCCGCCACGGGACTCCCCGCTCCGGGCCTCCCCGCCACAGCCCTCACGTCCTCGCTTCCCAAAGCCTGTCACCTCCTCCGCTCCCAGGAGCTGACTCGGCGCATCTCACTGTGAAAGTGCTGGGAGGGAGAGAGAACTTCTCACTCCCATCCTCTCCGGGTTCCCCTGCACCAGACCCTGGCTGAGCCCCCCCCACTTCTATTTCGGGTCCCCTGCAGCCACCGCTCTCTCTCCCTGAGCGTGCTGCCAACGTTCCCTCTCTGAACGGAGCACCTTTCACCACGCGAATGACACTCCCCGACGTCCCATGGTAGCACCTGACTGAAGGCATTTTAAATCTGATTACGTCCAAAACCCAGCTCTCAAACTCCCACACCTTCTTCCATCAAACTCACTCTTCCTAGAACTTCCTCCATCTCCGGAAATGGCTTTACCCTTCACTTGGTTACTCAAGATAAAAAACTCGAGTCTCCCAGCATGCCCGGCCATCGACAAAATCTATTCACCTCTTCTTCAAAATACAGTGATACCTCGGTTCTCGAACATAATTCGTTCCAGGAGGACGGTCGAGAACCGAATTGTTCGAGAACCGAAGCAATGAAACCAATAGGAAAGCGTGACTCCACAAAGCGTGACTCTCTCTCTGCACTCACACTGATGACGCAAGCAAGGCGTGCTGGGCCGAATGAACGCCATTCGGCTCATCTCGGAAGTTCGAGTTCCAAATATTTGTTCGGATTCCGAGACAAAAGTTTCTCGAATCTCCATTTGGTCGAAAACAGAGGCGTTCGAGAACCGAGGTATCACTGTATTATCAAATCCAGCCCATGTCACCACCTTGAGCTGCTACCCTAGTCCAAGCTGCCATCATCTCTGACTCAGACACTGCAGCAGCCTCTTAACCAACCTCCTGGCCCCTCTCTTGGTCCCTATGATATGTTCTCCCCACTATGGCCAGAGTGTGGTTTCAAAATGGACAGGAAACCAAATACTTCCCTGCTCAAGAGTTCAATGCTTCACCTTACACTTGGAATACATTCCTAATTCCTTACAATGACCTTCAAGGCCACAAGGGCCATCAACCGTCTGTGTTTCTAAACTCTCCCAGCATGCTTTCCTCACACCACTGTAGTCACCACAACTTTCATGTTTCCAAAAGTATTCGCTGACATGGGGGACAATCAGTACACTGAGCAACTCAGAACGACACCACCACCAACAAACCGATGTCATCCCCAGTAAATTCAATTACAACAAAAAAGAACAAAAACCTTGTACTCTATGTATATCTGCCCATAAATTAAGGCTAAAAGAAGATACATCAACATGTTGAACAGAGGTTCTGGGACACTGATTTATGGGTGATTTCTTATTCTTCTATACTAAGCTGGTGATACATTTCTGTGTATGTGATATTTACAAATTATGGTAGGTTTAGCCATGAATTCTTAGGCTGCATTCATAATTAGTACAGAAATATTTAACTCTATTCCATTTCTGTTTCTCACAGGACATTTCAAAATCTACACCAGTTCCTGACATCAAAATCCTTAAACGGCCCTGGCCAGTTTGGCTCAGCAGTTGGAGCATTGGCCTGCGGACCAGAGAGTTCAGTTCCCACTAGGGGCACATACCGGGGGGGGGGGGGGGGGATCCTTAAACCAACAAGCTGGATTAATGGTCACAACTTCTTCGTATGTTAAGATGGTTGACTCTCCAGCCGAGGGACTGAGTCTAGAGTCAGAGGTGATGAGCAGGCGAGCAGAGAAAACAGTCCAATCTGGAGCCCTGGGAATCAGGTCCAGGAAAGCTACCCGACCTCGGTCCAAGAGGAGACCAGGCAGGGGGGTCAGGGGCCAGGTAGAGGAAGTAAAGCGAGGCCCATGAAATGCCACACTACAGAAAGTACAGAAAGTAAACACAATGTGGCAGAAGCGTACCCTGGAACACTGTTCAGCAATGAAAAGGAACAAGGTACTGATGGATGCTACGATATAAATAAATACCACAAATCCCTGTGCTAAGTGGACGGAGTCAGAGGTACAAGATTACAGAGCGCACAACTGTTTCACCGAGATGTCTCGACTAGGCCAACTGCAGGCACAGAAAGCAGAGCAGTGTTACCTGGGGCTGGGTACGAGAGTGGGGACAGAGTATAATCAGGCATGGGGGAATTTTCTGGGTGATGGAAATGCTCAAAAAGTAGATTACATAATTCTATAAATTTGCTGAAAATCACTGAATTGATTTTTTTTAAAAAATCACTGAAGTCATTTATAACCTTAAAATGAATGAATTTTGATATGTAAATTATACCTCAATAAAACTGTAAAAATGAAAAAGATTACATTCTAGCAGATTTTTGTTGTTAAATTTGGCATCACTTTTAGGCCTTTTACCACTTTTAATATTTTAAATTATTTTAAACAAAGTAAAGTTTGTAAAACCAGGTGACCCCTCCTCAAATTCAGTGAAAGTATGTTTATAAAAGACACAGCTCAGCCATTCCATACAACGGCCTGAAGTGACTGGCCCCTGGCACATCTAAGCTAGCGTTATTGGCAGGGAAGACTTGTCAAGCCCATCATCGTCATGCAGTTGATTCATAAGGCATTCAGCTCGTGGTATTTTCCATCAATCAAGTCTGCTGTCATC